AAATCACAGGCTCTGAAAACTAATGTTGTTGACCGTGACTCAGAAGCAAAAGCAGCTGCAGAATTAGGTGGAAGGACAATATTAAAATCATCAGAATATTGTTTCTTGGAAATAATGAAAAAAATGAATGAAATGATAATACAACTGTTATAATACTCCAAGTAAAATCATGAATTGATATTTAAAGACTCCAAGGAGTACAGAATTTTAACATTTATGGCTCTACCACTTACTATTTTGCCTTGAAGAAAGTAACTCAAACCTTTCTGGACCTTGGTTCCCCATTTTGAAATGGGCATAATTAATAATATTTACTGCATAGGCATTGAGTATATGGATTAAATGATGTTATCCATATAAAAATGCTTAGTGTCTTAGTAAATAATAAGCATAAGCAGTTATTTTATTATCACCACTATTATTACAGAAGTTTCATTCTCAGACCTATTAAAGCTTCATGACTTTAAAAGTAAGGTATCATCAACATAAATAATGAATAATTTTCTCTCCTATAATTTATTATTGTCATATTTCCCCATTTATATTGCTGAATCTAGTTGAGGTTAGGTAAGCTTTAGAGCCAATTAGTATCCATGACTTTATTTGTTCCTTACATCAACATTGACAGGGGAGAGCTTATCCCCATTGGACTGAGTGTATGGAGTAAGTAATGTGTCCAAAGCCATGAAGCTAGTAACCGGTAGCAACAGGATTCAGGGCCACACTGTCCAATCCCTACTTGAAGACTTTTCCCATCATTACAGTATTTTCCAAAATATCAACTTCATAATATTTAATTCCAAGCAATAAATGTGACCCTAAGTAGATCAGCAGGAAGACCATGAATGGGAAGTCTACTGTGACACAGATCCACTGTCATGTAGACACAGACGCAGGAAGATGGTCATGGGCTTGACTGTGTTTGCAGTGATGACCTCATCAAACATTAGTATCATCATTTCCCACTAGGGCAAAGGTGTCCCCCAAAGGGATTTCAGTGTGTGTGGTCAAGTGACATGGAAGGTCCCTGAGCAGATTTCCCACCCCCAAAATGTCAGAAAGCATCTCCCACCCCACACCATCCATTTGCCTTCCTAGTCCCCTGTATTTATGACCTAAGGGATGAACTGCTCATCTTTCTCTCTCTGGCTAGAGCAAATCTTATTTTATCCTCCCCTCTTGCTTTGACTTGGCCTAAGCTGGTCCTCCACAGGTAAGAAATGCCTCTCCTCCCAACACCAAATGGGAAAATTTGACTTTTTTTTAAAATCCTGATTAAAAGGCATTTGCTCCATGAAAAATGCCAAGCACCCACCCCACCATCCAAAATCATCTCTGCAACCCAAATCTTCTATTTGTTTATTTAATCAGCTTTCCCTGGCACATTTCTCAAACTTTCTCTCTCCTCTCAGTTATATCAGCAGCTCAATGCCCTGATTGAAGTCTTTGCAGTTACTCAGCCATACACAAGGTCTAGGGATAGCGCTGGATGACCAAACGAATGACAGTGATCAATGTCCTGTCTTGTGTACATGTCTGGGGCTTCTTCTCTACTGTTCATGAGCAAATAACTATGGAGGATTGAGGTATTTATCCAGATAATTTTTAAAAATGAAATGAGAGGCTCAGGATGTGGCTCAGTGATGGAACATTATCTAGCATGGCTAGGCCCTGGGTTCAAACCCCAGTGCTACAAGAAATATGAAAAGTGGCTTGAACTCAAAAACCTTGTCGGATAAGAAATTAAAACTATTGTCAAGTCTTTTCAGATAAATTTCTTAATTCTCCATTTCACCCTACATACATAGGAAAGGATTCTGAGAACAAAAGATCACAACTTAAATAAGTCCTTAAAAAAGAAAAAAAAAATTTATATTCAGAGAAAAGTAAGAAGGATTCACCTGATAAAAATTCAGAAAGAAATAACAGGAACTTTAAAAAGAACTATCACCCCCGTTGGATATAACAGGCCACCCGCTACTCTTGATCAATCTGATATCTCTTGACTGTTATTATTTGTTGTCTGTCTGGAAAGGAAGGAGAGAGCGTGTGAGCTGGGATGGAGAAGACTTAAAGAAAGCACAGTAAACTATCCACGTATTTCCCACAGGGGTAAAAGGACCTCTTCCCAAAGGAACAGTAGGCTTATTATTGGGACGCAGTTCTTCTACTCTAAAAGGACTTATGATAAGTCCTGGGGTAATTGATCCCAATTATGAAGATGAAATAAAAATTATAGCCAGTTCTCCAAAGAGTATATCAGTAATTTCACCAGGAGATAGAATAGCACAGTTATTAATAATATCCAGCCTACATGATAAATTTTCCAGTCGTACTGTAGAAAGAGGTTCCAAGGGATTAGGCTCCATAGGTGTAGATTGGGCTATGCTTTCTTCAAATTTAGATTCTCGCCCCATGCTAAAACTAAATATTCAAGGACATGAATTTAATGGGCTAATGGATACAGGTGCAGACCTTAGCATCATCTCTCATCAAGAATGGCCAAAACATTGGCCATTACAACAAGCTACTCAAACGCTTCGAGGCCTAGGAGTGGCAACTAATCCCCGTACGGGCCACCAAATGCCACAGTCTGGCTGGGCACAATTCAGGAGCCACTTGTCAAAAGAAATGAACTTTATTTTTAGAACACACACACCACACCACACAGCTCCTCAGGAAAAACCTTCAGAGCCCAACTGCCACCACAGGCTTCCCACAAGCCTCTCCACCTCCCCTACTCCTCCTGCTCTTGAGGCTGATTGGCTGGGTCGCATGGGCAGAGCCAAAAAAAGTCCCCCAGTGAGCAGCTCCGTGGTCTGAAAGAGTGGGGAAACAGCCCAATGAGCATCACCTCAGAGGAGCCAATCAGTTGGCAGCTAGAAGTTTGCTGGGGCCGCTGTGAGCCAATCATCAGCTGGCAGCTGGAAGTTTGCTGGCAGCTGGAAGTTTGCTGGGGCCCCTTCGGCTGTGGCTCTCAACAGTTTCACAAATTGCATTGGCAAGAATGAAGGAAGGAAAGAAGAGAGGGAGGAACAGAGGGATGAAAAAAACTGCTGACTACAAAACGAGAATGGAATTGTCACTTTGTGATATTGCTCCTGTCATCCTGAAGTTGTGTCAGGGTATGACTAGTTAGCCTCATTCAATCCTGCTCGCTCCTGACCAGGTGGACCACATTTGTTGATTGCTGCCTTGAACATACCACCACTGGGAACTCTATGGCCAAACACCCCAGGTCCAGCTGAACACTATTCCATTCTTCTACAATGAACTATCTTTCTAGCCTTTGTCTCTGCCAGTAATTAAGACATGGCTTTGGACAACGTACACCCAAGAGGCTTCAATTCCTGTCTGGCTCAGCATAGGACCCATGCCCCAGTAGCCCTGGAGGTCAAAATAGCACCTTAGGAGGGAAGTGGGATGATCTAGACAGCTCTGCTCCTTAGTGTGGTTGGAACAGGGCATGAAGGATGGCTTCCCCATGTGCGTCCTGAGAAAGACTGATCATAAGAAAGATGCCTATGAATAAAGTCTCAGGGTCAAATAAATCTGGAAAGAGTCTAGTCTGAATCTTCCTCTGAGAGCTTCACAATGCCTACAGGCATAATAAGGGGGACAAAAAGACTTGCAGCAAAGAACTCTGGAATATGCCATTTATCCCAGCATATCCCAAATTTATTTTACTCCAAAACTTCTTTCCAGTAACATCTTTTAACATTGAAATTTAATTTGGGAAATGCTTGAAACTACACTTAACAGCTAGTGGCTTAAAGTCTAAATTATAAGGCTTTGAGTGCAGAATCTGACCAAGAATTCTGGCAAAATGTTGTTGTTCAGCTGAAGAGTTAAACTAGAAACAGGGGGTTTCAACTTTCTGACAACAAAACTGTAAAATCATCTGGAAATTTTACTTTATTATTATAGGAGAACTATATTTTTGAAACAAGATAGAGAAAATGAGAACGAGATACATACTTTGTGATATTGCTTCATATTTACAACAGTAAATATGCTTCACACTTGCAATGGTCCATAGCAGTATATTCTATTTAAAATGATTTTCTATCAGAGACCTACAACCCAATTTTATGTCTTTATGTGGGAAAAATGAAGCAGAGAGCAAAGCAATTACCCAAATATTCCAAATCAACTTCTCTTTCTACAACGATAAAATTGTGCCTGTTCATTTTCAAATAATTTAAGCTTACTATGTTTGGGAGCCCAAGTTATCTGGAAAGTTATCATTATTTCATACTGTTTAAATATAATTTATTAATATATTGAGCCTTTAGGAAGATACAGTCATGGACTATCTTTAATATGACTAAGGAAATATCTAGAATATTATATAACATAGTACAATGAAAATTCCCCAATACCTGAGAATTAATGTTCCCATATTTGTAGTTCTAATATATACTAGGAAAGAAGATTTGAATACTCAGTATCATGAGTACCTGTATCAGAGATTCCTAAAAACTCAATCCACCCAAATATAAATCATATAACATAAAATTTATAAATTTACTGTTTAACTTCAAGTATCTCCAGTAATTCAATTAAAGTCTGTCCACATTTGTGAAGGGAAAATCCCAATCGCATGGAACTAATCTGTATTTCAGATTACCAATTTTTTTAACTTAACACTTACCAATTTTTCCAAAATAGTTTTTAAGACCCAGGCCAACCCATAAAAAGATCTATTCAAATTGAAATTTAGGTGCTGTTGCCTGTTTCATTTTTTTAAATTGAGGACCGTAAAAACATAAATACGTTACATTCTCCCTTCTCCAGAATACAGCTGGTAAATATGTCACACGGTAATACAATAGGAATCACAGAAAACACATTCCAAAGGATTTCCTCTGGCTAAAATCTTGGAGGACAGGAAGCTGATAATGAACTTGTTAGATTGAACTTTTCTCTTCACTCATCCCATTTCAGTCTAGTGGTCAAAATGACCATGTTTTCAAGTTGCCCTCGCGGCAGTGCCTTACCAGTGTAGATGCTGGCATTGGAAGCTGGGATACCAAACTGTGACTCGATGAACTTGGGAATGAAGGTAATGAAAGCAGTTACAATGGCACTCTCAGCTGTGTATGACAAACTCACAAAAAGGAATGTCATGTTGCTTAAGATCCTGACAGCTGCTCTTGGTAGGTCTACAAAATGACAAAAATGACAAATGAATGTTATAAACAATGGATGGAAAACAAAATAAAACTGAATTGTTTTTGAAATGAACTGCAAGTAGCCGTTCAGCAATATTTGCCACAAGAGAATAAAAACAGAAAGATCTGATGACGATTAGAAAACAACCCCTTGGTTCAATAGAGCTGGTTTTGGTTTGATGTTTTAATTATCAACCAGAATAAGGAAATAACACACCTACAACCATATTCATACACAAATATCCTTACAAGCAACACCCAACCTGTGACTCCTATTTCAAAATCTGTTTAAATTATTTGTATTCTTTATTGATTGAAGACAGTTATTTTCCATGAAGACCTCTGAGTCCATTTAATGTGGGAATTACCTGCAGATCAGTCCTAAATTAGGGTTGCCAGTTCCCCCAACATCATGCCCCTTACAACATGCATTTCTAAGTCGCCATATTGTTGACCTCACATTGAAGATGCCCACAGCTGAGGAACAGGAAGGTGATGTCAGGCACCTGGTTCTCCAGCCTCACTTAGGAAATAATCATAGCTAAAGAAGCTCAAAAGGATAAGGCCATCAGATCAGACATTTTCAGGTACTTTGCACTAGAAAACAAAGAACCATGATCTCCCCAAGGGGAAGGAGAGCCCAGAGATGGTGGCTTGGCATCTACTGGACCACCCCTCACGAAGGAGAAAAAAGCCTCATCCTTAAGTCTAGACATTTATTTCACAGAACTTGCTACAGCTATATAAGCAAGTATTTTCATTGCAGCATTGTTTATAATAGAAAAAAAATAAGGGGGCCAAAGGTGCATCAATGGGAAACGTTTAAATAAATTAGTTACATAATGGAATACTACAGAGTAGTTTAAAAGGACACAGAGCTGCATGTACTAGCACAAAAGAACTCTAAGAAATGTTGTTATTAATGATTAAAGCAAGCTGCAGAAAATGTACATACATATATAGTGTCACAAAAATCAAACAAATCAAACTAATGTACTTATATGTGGTCAAATATATACTTCTCCAATGTGTCAAAATGCATTCTCCTGTCACATACAACTAATTAGAACAAATTTTTTAAAAAATTAAAAATAGTTATATACTTATCAATATATATCTTAAGGGCTTAAGTTGTTTGAACAGGATTGAATTGGGAAAGATAAGAATGAAATAAAATTCTGTGTATATATTTTGTATTTTTTGTATGTTTGTAATGTGAATTAATGCACATTTAGGTAATTTTTACATTTCTTCATGGAAAAATAAGTTGCACTATTTTTGACAAAGTCATCTCAAATAACAGTTATCCCCTTATGCTCCAACACAATACAGTGATTTCATTAAAAATGAACAACTTTCATTGAAACTGTAATTCATAGCCTCTTATTCCTCAGAATCTAAAATTAATAAGCCAAGACTATTTGCTATAATTGTTTAAAAATTTAACATTCTACATCTTAATTCAATTTTTAAAAGTTTAGCATTTTGAAAGAACAATGAAGCTGTATACTTTATTTTTTAACATGGACAAACACACCAGAGAATAAAGCCTTTCATATTACTAGCCAATACTTTCTTGCAAACACAAGATTAAAATGTCACATCCAAAATTTTAAAATTAGAAATTTTAGAAATTAGAAAAAATAGAAAAATTACCTGTCTACATATAAAGATTAACATTAAGTTTAGTTGATATATTTAAAGCCAATGTGTTGAATCAAAAACATCTGGGAGAAATATAAAATAAAAAATTTTAATACAAAAAATATGTATCCCATACATATTTTATTTTTTTTTAATTTTTTATTGTTGGCTGTTCAAAACATTACATAGTTCTTGATATATCATATTTCACACTTTGATTCAAGTGGGTTATGAGCTCCCATTTTTACCCCATATACAGATTGCAGAATCACATCAGTTACACATCCATTGATTTACATATTGCCATACTCGTGTCTGTTGTATATTTTAAAATATACCAGTTATACTAAACCAGTTTTCCATTTAGACTCACCTGATACAATAAAAATGTAGTTTCAAACATAACTCAATAGAAATAGGTTTTGGTTCTCTTTCATTAAAAAACAAGGTCTGCTTTTTATTTAAGTAGAATTTAGAAAAGTTCAGACTTTCAAAAACTCTACGTTAACAGTGCTGGGGATTGAAGCCAGGGCCTGGTGCATGCTGGTGCTCTACTCAGCTACCTCCCCAGCCCAGATTCCTTCTTTCTTCCACCTTCCTCATCCCCTTTATTGAGGCTGAGCTTTCAGCCTGCATGCCCTGCAGGAATGGAGGGCGCAGGTCCAGGGTTGTACCTTCAAGTAGTGGCACTGAGTGTTTTCTTACATACAGAGAGACAGAGCAAATAATTACAGAGTAATGGGAGTCTGCTTTCCAACTGCTAGAAGGAGTTACAAATACAGAAAAGTAGACAGTTCAATATCAGTTTGGAGCTGGAGATATTGTTATGAAGCAATTAGACAAATAAATAAATGATTAGATAGATAAGATAGACTGGCAGCGATAGATGACAGGATCGATTATATAGATAGGCTAGATAGATACATAGAATAAATTGATTGACAGGTGATAGATGATAGATATGTGTGCACGTCCCAACTCTGTCTGCTAACAGGTCTTAGAAATAATCACACTCTGATAGGAATGAGCTCATCTTGTACTAATTTCTTGGTTTCTAACAATCATTTTCCACTAACAGGAACCAGAGAAATATCTAACTTCAGAATTGAAGCAAAGAACAAGCAAGCTGAGCTTAGGAAATCTTGAACAAGAAGTAAAGAAGCCAGGCGCAGTGATTCACACCTGTAATCCCAGGGACTCAGGAGGCTGATGCGGAAGGATCACAAGTTCAAAGCCCAGTTTCAGTTACTGAGCAAGGCCCTAAGTGATTTAGCAAGACCTTGTCTCAAAATAAAAAAAAAATAATAATAATAAGGGCTGGGGAGGTGGCTCAGTGATTAAGCACCCCTGGGTTTAATCCCCAGTGGCAACCTGGGAGAATCTGAACTCAGTAGATGTTAAAAGCAGTCGGTGAAAATCTAATAGGAACAAGATGCAGTCAATCCTCATTATCTGTAGATTTCATATTTGCAAATTCACCCACTATTAAAATTTCATTGTAGCCCCAAAATTAATACTTAAAAGCACTTTTACAGTCATGCTCAGGGTAGCAAAAACTTGAGTTATCCAACCCATCCGTTGGGCTGGGCTGAAACATAGCGACTCTCCCACCTTATTGTTTCAGCTTTCATCTAGTAAGTGAGGATCCTTTTCACAATATAGCGTCCTATCTTTCTCTTGCTTTCTGTTGGTGACTTGCTTTTTAAATGTTACCAAGGGTAATGCCACCATGCTGTCTCACATTCCTAAGCACAGAGTCTGCGAGGAGCTTATGGAAAAACTGCATTTGTTAGAGAGACTTCCGTTAGGCAGGAGTTACATTGCTGTGGTGTGGTGAGCTCAATACTAATGAACTGACAATGTATGTTCAATAAGGGGTCTTTAGACAGAAACTTAGGTAAAATAAGGTTTTATGGGCTGGTAATTATGTAGTGACAGGAACCCAACTCTGTGTCTCCCTGGGAATGATGCTTCAGTATTCACTAATTCAGGGTTCATGGTAACTTGGTAGAACAAAACTGTTGCAAATAATCAACTCACTTTACAAAGCTTCAAAATAGTTCCTAACAAAGTATTTATAGATTATTTTTTGACTAATAATTATCTTGTACTTATTAACTTAAGCAGGGAGAAAACAAGCAAATGCAATTCTATCCGGTGATCAAAGTTAACCTGATTATGGGGTGAATTAACACCTTCTGCCTCTGTTACAATGCACTAAGCATGGCATCATTTGGGTGGTAGGCCTATAAAACTACAAAAATCAAGAAAGGACATCAAACCTAAACTTCATTCTATGAAGTTAATGGTTCTTACATTTTAAAAAGATCAAGGTTATGCAAGACAAGGAAAAACGAGAAACTGATATAGATCAAAGGAGAATTAAAGACACAAAAACTAGAAGCCAGGTGCACTAGCACACACCTGTAATCCCAACTACTCAGAAGCTGAGGCAAGAGATTCACAAGTTCAAGGCCAGGCTTGAACTCACCAAGACCCTGTCTCAAATTTTTTAAAAAAAAATTAAAGGGCTGGGGATATAGCTCAATGCATGAGGCCCTAGGTTTAATCCCCAGTACTGCAATAAGAAAGAGAGAGAGAGAGAGAGAGAGAGAGAGAGAGAAAGAAAGGAAGGAAGGACACAAAAACTAATACACATGGCCCTGGATTGGATCTTGGACATAAAGAACGTTATTGGGAGCAATCATCAAAATTTGAGTGGGGCCTATAGTTTAGATGTCAGCATTGTTTCGATGTTAATTTCCCATTTTTTGACGCCTGCCCAGTGATATAGGAAAGTATCCTTATACTTAGGAAACACAGGAAAGTATTGGGATCAGGAAAACATTGTGTCTGTGACTTCCCAAAAGTGTTAATGGTTAAGAAATCATTATAGGGTGCAGGATAACTGGAGCTCTATGGGCTATTATTCTTCAGCCTTTATGTAAATTCAAAGTTATTTCAAAAACATCAAGTTTAAAAAAATTAAGTTAGCAAATTATTTGCTAAATCTACAATTTTACAACCAAATACCTAAATTTTTATGCTGCAGGATATATTTTAGATCGGTTTCTCGGTGTCATTTATAATTGTATCCTTATAAAATCAAAGATGTAATAAAAAGCATGGTGAAGGAGAGGTGATGAGATAATGATGGTGATTATCATTTTTGATCATTTAATGCTAAGAAATCTTATAAATTCAATGATAAGAGCAGACTGACAGACCAAGAAATGCCTTTAAACAGTTGTACGCAGGAATAAAATTCCATTCAAAGCACCAAATTCAAGAGAATATAATATAAAGAGGATTACACTTAGAAATTGCTTTTAAAAGAAGTGTTAATT